CTGTGTGTTTGTGTATGTCTAAGGTGTCTAAGAAGCTCATTAAACTAAATACATTAGCTATTTTATTTCATATTTTTTCGTCTATTTCTTTCAACGTTTTTTTCCCCAAAAATGCATTACATCTCATTTACATCCTTTACATCCAGACAAGACATTTATCATTGTCACCGCTGAAGTGCAAATAAAAATATATTGTAATAAGCGTGTAACATCATTATTGCACTCAAAGTAATGGAAAGGTGCAAAATAGTAATCATATTATAAATATATAATATTATAATCTGTTATTATAAATTGAAACTCGCCTCCATTAACAGTGTTAAATTGGCATTTTTTTGTTTCGACTTTGTCAATGGCTAATCAATTTTTAAATTTTATAATTTTCATTATAAAAATGCATCAAAGCATAAAATCAAAATTGGCTCCAAAATGAAAAATTAAGAGGGAATTGTATTTATCGCAGTCTCTTCTTCTTTACTCTTTGGGTTTATCCAAATCACATTTGCTTTTTGACCTTTTTAATTTTAGTCGTTTAACATAACCTTATCCGTTTAATTGTTGATGAAACATGTATCTATCTAATTTAACCAATGCTAATACATCTTATAATTTACTTTTACACTGCAATCATCTAATTTGTGAGTCAAATGCGGCTTTAATCATCTTTACCCATCAAGTTAACCATTTCTTTAGCTGTACATCCACTTAACGTTTTTACTCTAAATAAGCTTTTTAGCTTCGTCTTGTAAACTTTCCAATGGATCATCATCATTTTCATCATCATCTTCACCCATTTTATTGACTTTTACAGAAAAAAAAGAACAATTGATCCAGAATAAACTCATTTTTACCAGCATTCTTGCATTCAGTAACAATACAAGTAACTTTGAAGCCTCGAGAGACTTTAACCCATCATCTTTTTACCTTTCCTGGATCTTAATCTTTTTGACTTTCACCTTTCATCTTTGCCTTCTAAAATTGTGAACCAATATACACAAACTTGAAAGGATTACCAAGGAAACAGGGATTGACTTGAATGTTTGAATCCTCGAGGAGAGCAAAAGATTGAGACGAAGAAAAACCTTTTGATCTTATTAACACTAAGATCTTCTCTTTCTCTTTACCTCGACTGGTTAAAGTTAAACAACAAAATACATCGTTTTGTCAATTGTCCTTGGTGCACACCATTTTGTCATCGCCATTGTTAATTTTTGGGCTAAATGTTATAATTTCCAATTCAAACTATCGAATGGCTCTTGAAACAACAAGAAAGATATTAATCAAAGGAATGTTGAGGTGAAAAAGGACCAAGAAAAAGGAGGAAGGCAAGAGTTACACGGAAAAACAAGATGAAGGTATTCTGTGCTGAATAATTCCCATGAGTAACCAATAAAATCAATGGTTCAATACCTTTTATCGTATTTAATATATAACCCAGGATAGTAACAATTCAGATTCTGTTTCCTTCATCTCCATCTTCATCAACTTCTTCTTGCTCTTTATTTGATTTTTTCCCTTTTATTTTTGATTCCCAGAGATTACAATGAATATAATGCTTTTTAATCTCTGTGTTTTCTCATCAGATTTTCATTATCATGTCTAAGATAACATTCAAAGATAATAATGGATTGAAATACAATATGAACCTTTTGCTTGGTGAATCAACCACAACTCTTTCAACCCGCAAATCTAATTCTGTTTTATGATCCTTCCAAGCTTCACAGGAATTGAACAAGCCAAAAGAGGAAGGTTAAGAAAGAGGAAAACAGATTCGATATTTGACTCTTATTTTGATCATGTTAATATCAGGGAAATGGTGTTGATTATCATGGTGATCATGATCAAAGATTAGATGATTATCGTACTGAAAAAAGGCTGATACAACCAATGGATGGACCAGTTAATCCCAATACCTTTTCCTCATTTCAATGCAATACCAGGCTGACCAGCAAAATGGACTCTTTTTCACGCCTATTCGATGCCAATCTGATCATCTAAACCATTCAATCATTTTAATTTAATCATTTGGACATTAGTGAAGGTGAAAACAGAGCAACATTCAAAAGATAATTCCAGCAAAATATTTTGCTGCGCCATTTTCAATGATGAATGTTTGGCCTTTTGCTCATCTTACTTGAATTGCCTTTAAAAAAGCAATTCAATTAATTGCTACAATTTACCCAATGTCACCTTTCATGTTATAAAAGATAAAAATTGATGGTGAATCTTCATCTTGAGCCTTGTTAGTCCTTTTTTCATGACAAGCCATTTTGATGATGATCAAAATGATGATTCCTTAATTCCTATTCTTACCAATATCATAGTAATCAATATGAAAAAACGCATCATACAGAAGCTTAAGCTTTAAAAGCAGCAACAATAATAATGATAATAATAGTACAATAATATCTATCAACTGTAATCTAATACAGTTGAATCAATAATCTTTGTCTTTAACTCATTGTTATTGCCATTGTGATTATTATTGCGTTTTATTATTAAAAGGTAATTTTGTTTGCCTTCCTTCATTCCTTATTTTTCATTCTTGATTAATATTACTGTCCAATGAGCAATTATTGAACTTTCACTTGATTTAAAAGAGGCTAAAAACAGGGTTAAATACAAAAGTTAATCTTGAACCTTCAATCAAATGGAAATCAAAAATCACCAAATCAATCTGTTCAATCCAAGACAATAATCATCACAAGTTGTGTTCAATCGTTTATAAAATTAGCTCAACACTCTGGGCGTGTTAATTCAACAATTTAAACCTGACAATTGGATCAATTTATCTTCTCACCTTTTCTCATCAACTTTAATATTCTGTCAACAAACCTTAAGGTAAACTGATTGTTGACTTTCATCTGCTCAAGATAATTAGATGAAACACGGAAAGGATCACTAATTAACCTTACTTGATTATCAATCAAAACCAAAGGACAATCCAGTTTTAAATTCATCTTCAACTTTAACATGCAACTCTAATTGTTCCAGATTTGACCAATGTCTTCCATAAGTGTTGATCAACATTTTGAACAATGTTATAATATCTAGAAATTCAATTATCATTGATTGTTATTAATAGTGAATAATGCAATACATAATTGTGAGATGAATATAACTCATAAAGATGTGAAAATGATGGGAATCTTGATAGTCTTGATTGAATTCTTGATGAAATGTGATGAAACAAATTAAATAGTTGACATGACAATTACTCCTTTCCCTGATTATCACTTTAATTGTCAATAATGTTGAACATTATTAAATTATTCTCTGTGTTTCTCAGCCAGCTCAACTAATTCATCAACTAATAAATTTAATAACACTCAAACAGCTCGTTTAATTTGCACTAAAAGACTCATTATTATCACCTTATTATCATTGGCATCAGTTAAATCAATTATAAGTGTAACTCAATAACAACCTCAACTCTAAACCAAATCACAATCAAGTAAAAAGGTTAACAATTTTGGATGGATCAAGATTACAAGTTGAGAAACAATGAAAACAAAAGTGTATCAAAAATCATTTATATTGGTTACACGCAGTTGAATAACCTGAGTGCGAACACGATTTTAATACAAAATTACACCAACTGCTGATTGATAATAATGTTAGCCATGATCTTAACGATTCACACTTGAATCAATGAACATTGAGTTACCTTTTGTATTACCTACGTTACGAGTGAAAACATTTTTACCTCCATTGTTACTGTTGATGATAATCATGTTGATATAAATTTTGATGAAAATTTTGGCTTGAAACAAAAACGTATGAATACGCTGGGTGAATGGGAAATGCTCATGATGATGATACAAATACTTGAGTTTACTTTTAGCTATTAACTATTCTTACCAGTGTTTGGTGAACTCATTCAGTTTCATTAATTATTTTGATAATATGAGGAGGAAGATGATGATGAAGAGGGAGACAAAAATAGATACTGTTCAACTAATGAACTTTACTGTGTTCTTGGTCTAATCAATGATTCTGTTGGTGAGGTTGAATCAACTGATTCACATGGGAATAAGATGATTCTTTTTTTCTTCGCCTTTTTTTGGATCAAATAATCGATATTTCTAATTAAATAATTTCACTCTTCTTTGTTTCTGCTAATAATTAGCTTTCAATAATTCCTCGAAATATTTATTTTTCACCTTTTCAATCATTTTAAAACACTTTTGTTCTTGGCGCCATACTTAAGCTCTTTTCTGGTTGGCTGTTTGTAATTGCGCTTTTGTTTTATTGTCGTTTGCTTAATGCATTTGTTTCTCGTTTTTATCATTTTTAATTGTGTTTGAGTAGATTTAGTTGTTAATTTAACTTTATGTTTTGATTTTCGTGACTTGATATAATCTTGTGAGTGAATTATTAAACTCTCAAGATTCAGGGAAAATGAGATTGAAATGTAAGAACGTCTCTTGCTCTTTCTTGTTACATGCTTCTTCTCGTTTGGTCAATAAGGTAATTGGCATTGGTTCAACAGTGGTTGTTTAGTTGATCATCTCACGCACTTTTAACTGATTTTCATACTAATCTTGATAATCATCATAATCATCAGTTTTGGTGTTGTCATGTCATTGATCACGCAAAAATCTCATGAATCTATCAACATCTTCATCACTAACTCTTGCAAACCTTTTTTCACCCTTTTCTTGCGTTTTTGTGTTCTTAATATTTTTGGTGTTAATTTTGGCTCAATTAATTCGTTTGTTTTTTTTCATGTTGTTTATATACAACAGCAGACATAAATTTGTTCTGTGTGCCATTGTGTTTGCATCAATACTAATTGAATAAAGCGAAAAAGCTTACCCCAGCAATTAACAGTAATTGACAAACATAATTCATCTCTTTTGTTGCTTCCATTTTGCTAGTGTTTTTGCTTCATCTCTATCAACTTATATCTTTATTGTTGCTTATTTTGATTAAGCTTTATTAGCTAATCATAATTAACTTGTCTAAATATCATTTTTTTCTTCTTTTTATCAAAACAGGTTAACAGTAACCGCAAGTTGTCCAATGTCTTTACAATACTTTCCTATGGATAGACAAGCCTGCTCAATAGAAATAGAAAGTTGTAAGTAATTAAAGACTTGATTATCAGAAAAGATAATGGATCAACAAATTCAACCATTATATTGATCAATAATTGGGATAAATATTGAGAAATGGATTTGGAATCGTGTGCTAATCAAATAAACCAACTTTCAAACCGATTTTCAACCAAACCGTTATCTTTCAACTGACCATTAATCTATAATTATGCTACGATTACATTTTATCTGCAAGCCTTATCTAATCATTAAATGTATCTTTTCATTTCAGATGGTTATTCAATGCGTGATATTAAATATGTTTGGTTAAATGGTAACAAATCAGTTGACGTTCAAGGCGATGTAACGTTACCTCAGTTTAAAATTATGGGTCATGAGCAAGAATCAGCCATAGCTGCTCTAACTACAGGTAATTTTTCAGTTAATCAATCAACCATACTAAATACTAATCACGATTCAAACCAGATTGTAACCACATTTTCATTTAGCCAACAATCAAATAAGAATCGACCAAAAATAAATAATGAATCAGAATTAAATTGCATTTCCATTGTTTCTCTATTATTTAGCTTTTTACACACTCGATTAAGTTAGATTATGCCAGTACACATTATTATCATTTGGAACACAGCAATTTATTTACCCTTTTTTATTACAATCAAATACACATTTCCCATTGTTGAAATTGTGAATTTTATTCAAATAACATTCAATATAGTTTGTTCAAATACAATTGTTATTGTTAATAACCATTGTCTTTTGCTCATCCATCTCTGTGTTAAGTTAAAGATTAACTTGATTGTCACGCAATATTTATTTGTTTTAATTAAACGATCTTACTGGTAAATAATTCATCTGTAAGTTTCTCGTTTTGGTACATTGATTGTTGCGATGTTATCTCTGAGTACAAATTCTGATACTTGCAATGTCATTTTTCATGAACAAAAAGGAATAATAAGTATCATGAAATGCATCAAATACGTCAGTTCTTGTTTTATTTTTGTTGCGATTTTTGTATTTAAGAATAATTTCTTTTTTTTGTTCTTCTTTTGTATTGCATTCTCTTGTTGTTAGACCACATTTGTTGTTGATTGTTGGTTGAAAACAAAAATAAGCAGGAAAACATGAGAAGCAAATACATGGTGACGAAGATGAAGACCAAAGGAAAGGAAAGAAAAAGATGGAAAAGAAGATTGAAAATGCTGAATAAGGTGAAAAAAATACAAGTAAAGACTAAAAAGTGATAATAATAAGGAATAAGACGGAGAAGAAGAATAAGATCTCAGGCAGATGTATTATGATAAAATTGGTTTTTACTGTTGATTGTAACCTGAATACAGTTACCCTGGAGAGCTTTACCAAGAACAAGAAGCTGGAGAAGCTGAGATAAAAAAAGATCTGTATGATAGTGAAGATGACGAAAAATGAAGATCAAATGGCTTCAATACATTTGCCTTACGTTGATGGTGATGGGGATGAGGAAAAAAAGATGAGAATGAAATGATGACTGGAATCAAAATGAAAATGAATTGAGGTAGAAGATGAAGCAAGATATATCAATAGAGACAAAATTCAACTTATTTTTTTTCTCAACCAACAAGACGAGCCAAAAAAAGATACAAATCATCATCTTTTTTCATTTTTCTCTTGCAACTTCCATCTTCCATCTTCTTGTCCATTTCCTTGTCTTATCGTTATCTTTGTATTTATTTGTCTCTTAATATCACTTTCAATGATATAAAGAAACATCAAAACCATCCTTTAAGGTTTTTTTTGTCACTATTTTTATCGAATCGATTTAAAATTTTTTGTTTTCATTGAAATCTCCCATTTCAACCTTATCCTTCAGGTTAACTCATCAAACGAGTTACCTTTTCATACTTCAATGTATCATTTCACTGACCATTTATATACTTTTTTTTTAGATTCTTGGATCCAATTTTGAATTGCCATTTCTATGTGTGATTATAAACCTGCCCTTTCAATGCCGGTTCAACTCTTTTACCACTTTATCTCAGTTTCAATCACAAGACTCCTGAAAACTTCCCATTGATTTTGCGTATTATCCTCATCTTTTTCATCCACATTTCGCCATCAATTTCATCTCTTGAAACCTCTTTCCCTATTAGGTATATTCAATTCTGGTTTCATCACAAACCTAAAAAATTTGAGCAAAATTGTGAAGACAATTTCTTGTATTTACCATCCTTTGCCTAGGAAAAAAAAGCCATGAAAGGAATCTCTTTGCATTCATTATAATCTTTCTTTAGCTTCTACTAATTTATCTTCAACATCTTTCTCATCTGCATTTTCATTCGTTATTTTAGTTCATATTTTTTTCTCTTCTCTCCCTGCAGGGAGTTACAATTCATAAGCTTCCCTTTTATTTGTATAACACTTTTAACGATCAATAAGTTTCTAGTTTACTGTTTTTTTATATCATCGCCATCATCTTCATCTTCATCATCTATTTTGTCTTTCTCCTACCCTAAGCTCATCTTTAAATCATCCTTCTACTTCAAATTCAATTCACTAAAGTATTGCAATCAATGAATCTATTAGATCAATATTTTACCCATCAATTTAAATGTACCATTTTTAATCATTTACATAGTTAATCATCTTTCTTTATTCTTGATCAAGACAAAATGGCTATATCAATGAAAATTGTTTAACCATGTAATCCCTGTTAACTATTTGATTAATAGTTGGTTAAGCCAAGTTCAATTACAGAGTTTAATTTTTCTCACAAGAAAAGGTTAATTGTTGCGTTGAAATGTTAAAAGGTAAAATTGAGTTCAATCACTTTATCCAAATTAAATGGATTGTTGGGCCAATTTGATCAAGTTAGATTCACACTATTTAACTCAGCCATTTAGAGCATTGTTTTCAATTGCATTTATCAATTTCACATTGTAAGCCTATTTTGATTATTGGTTGAAAACAGTTTTTCTGGTAAATTGTTTTTCCTTTAAATTTAGTCATTTTTCACAGAAATTTAGAGTAAATTAAGTTAACTTGGGTCCATTTATTTAATCATTTCTTGACCCTAACCAAGACTCTGTACAGCATTCACTTTTTGATTCATCTCTTGATGAAATGCGTCTGAGAAAAGGTTATTTTCTCAAAATTAAATGAGTTTTCATTTGCCTGTAAACTTGATGCTATAAATAAATATGTCTCAAGTTGAGTTACCATAAGTGTACATATATTTTCAATATACTTGGCACACTCTATTTACATAGCGATGTTAACTTTGAATAGGTTGAAGGCAATGAGAATTGAAAGTTTTGATTTTCACCAGTCAAAATAATGCTTATTGTTATTACTTTAAAATGATTCAATTTTTCATGAAAAACGGAAACATTGAGAAGATGATAAAGATGGGGAAGAAAAGTGAGAGAAAATAAGAAGAAAAAGAAGTTCAGAATGAAGCAAGAAAATATAACATTTATAATAAGGATGGATCTTAGGAAGGATTTTATTCTTATTGATATCAACTTATGTTTATCATGAGGACAAAATATTCAAATATATGAGAGCAAAAAAGAGCTGAATAGCTAACTTGGTAAATATGAGAAGCTACTTTATTATTATTATTGCCTCTGTAAGAAATATAACGATTGACATGAAAGTAAGAGTTATAATATTTTTTTATACATAACAATGAGAGACAGGAAAAGGGTAATAATCTTGCTATCATTATTAACAGCAGTGAAAATTTATTACAATCTTTGTGTTTATGATTGTTGATTGTGATTGTATTAAATTGTTTTCTGAGTAACTCAAAGTTGAACAAATTATTAATACCTTTTCTCTCTTTTTTTAACAGGCAATTACTCACGATTGATTTGTAAAATTAAATTTTCACGAAGTTTGGGTTTTTATTTGATACAAATATACATCCCTGCAAGCCTTATAGTGGTGATAAGTTGGGTCTCATTTTGGTTACATCGTAATGCAACTCCAGCCCGAGTATCATTAGGAGTAACCACTGTCCTTACAATGACAACTTTAATGTCTTCAACCAATGCCCAGCTTCCAAAAATATCTTATATTAAATCAATTGACGTTTTCTTGGGAACCTGTTTCGTTATGGTTTTCGCTTCCCTCCTTGAATATGCCACTGTCGGTTATCTTGGTAAACGGATTGCCATGCGTAAATCAAGAATTGAACAGTTAACCAAATTGGCTGATGAGCATAGGAAAAAATGTGCAGCGGCAGCGGCTGCTGCTGATGCTGCTGTAGCCGAACAAAGTGCCGCTCAAGTTCCTCCCCAATTAATTTGTGCCACAACTGGATTACCTTTAGATCCTGCTCTTCAACTACCCTGTGGTATTAAAAATCCGGTTAGTCAATCACTAGAAATTGATACGAGAACAGGCTTTTTCTTCCTTCAAATTCATTTATTACATAACCATTGTTTCATCAAATTCATGTGATTCCATTTTCAATGAACCAAATCTTGACAGAATAGTCTCTTGTTTTAAAATAGACAATTCTTTTCTTCTTCTCCTTTTTAGAAGCTTCAATGTGACATTGTTTCTTTGTGATTTATCACAGAGTAAGACTCGTATAAATTAATTTAATGAAATCGTTTTTCAGATAGCAATCAATATTATTTAGACGAGTATCAGTTTACAAGTATCGGATCATATTTTTTCTTGGCAAATGCAGAATTTCCATTATACAATCAAGATTGTTTCAAACTAAATTGTATTACAAAAGTCACTTTAATTTATTATTTTTCATCTTTTCTATAAATTTGATTCGATCGTTTGTTTTTACTTATATCAAGCTTCATTTCGAGTATTGAACTTTGAAATTATACAACCATGCTAATGATACTTTGTTTCTTTCTTCATTTTAGGTTCACCATCAAGGTAATCGTTGCATTGGAGGACCACCACCGAAAATGGTTTATGGTGGTTGCCCTCAGAAAATGAACTCAAGAATCTTGGAAGCCAAACAATCAGGAAAAATGATGAATGAAGCTAGCTCAATGACCCTTGGTGGTGGTGGTGGACCTGGCAATCAACCTCCACCCACTCCTGTACCTTTTGGTCCTAAAGATCCTAATAGGATGTTAGGTGTAAGCCCAAGTGATATTGATAAATATTCTCGTGTTGTATTTCCAGTATGCTTTATTTGCTTCAATCTAATGTATTGGATCGTATATATGCATATTAGCGCCTCTAGTTCGCCGAATTAGCACATTAACACCAACGAGCAATCAATGTGAAAGTAAAGTTTCAGGCGAAAGACTCAAAACTAAACGCAAAGCAAAAAAGTGAGGACAAGCTGATTAAAGCCAACACCAAGCGCAAAGTCAATGTAAATTGTTTTCATCTACAAAATGGTGGTGATGTTGATGATTAACAAATTGAATCAAGCTGAGGGATTAATGTCCACCTTTCTTTGCGTCTCTCCGTGGACGGTAATGGTACAATTGATACAATCGACAATAATCACCATCTTGTAACTACCGGCAAAAACACAACAAAACTCAAACAAATCATCAACACACAAGCTCACAACAATCTGATATTTTAGAGATATTGATACAAAAACTAAGCTTATCCTAAAAGCTCAAGAAAATTGAAAATTTGAAAAAAAGTAACTGATTAGAGTAAATCAAGTCAACAATTTAACTTAAAATTAACAAAACAAACTAAACGAAACTCAATCGATCAACTGAGGAAACCAAAGAAGAAGTAACCAAAATGTGTTAAAGTTAAATAAATGAAAGCAAATCTTTTAGGCTATTATTATAATTACTATTATTACAATTAACTGTTACTGTAAGTGTTATCATAAATTGATATGATTACCATTTACCATTTTAGATGATTGTTTATCATCTTTATTTAATTCCGTTAGCCCATCTTTACCATTCCCTTTAATTTTCATGTTTTGTTGAAAATTCAAATTTTTTATCATTGCATGTAAAAAACAATGAAAAAAGCAAATTGGTAAGCAAAAGTAATCAAATCAACGCTGAGACGAGAGTCAAAGGATCACAATTGTGAGTCAACACACAAATTAATCATTGGAATCTATTCAACACTCTATCAGCCTGGATCCAAACATTTTTTAATTTTTGATTTACATCTCATTTCATCCTTCATTTCATCCTTCAATCTCAACATTTCCCGAAAAACCTTTTTTTGCCCCTAAAATCCAATAGCAAAAACATAATGAGGAATCGTACAAATGAATTATTCAATAGCCTTGTTCTCAATTAGAATAATTAATGACTAGAAGCTGGAACTATTGAGCTGTTCAAGGTGTACAACAGATGGAATCTTGTTTTGGTCAATTTTTTCTAGACTTTTTTCCCTGGACGTTTCTATTAATGAGACAAATCTCAGCTACCTTTTACATTGAGACTCTTATACAACAAACATATACATTAAAAATTGACACCATTGAAACAAATTTACTGAAAAGGACAACAAACTCAGAATTAACCAGAATTGCTCACTTCTTTGGTTTCACTTCATCGTAACCCAAATGTGGTTAACATGGGTTATGATGAGCAACAACATCATAATAGTGTTTATAGAGAAACAGATCACTTTTTTTGCATCTTCATTTTCATCTCTATCTTCCTGTCATCCTCTTTTCCTCTTTTCCTCTCTTTCTATCTGATCCTTTGCTTAACCAATCTTTCACTCAATTATAATATTATTAAGTGCCTACTGAATCTTGAATCGCTCTCCCGTTGATCACATTGACACCAATTGGACTGAAGCATGAAAATGATTACAGAAATGCGGATGAACATGAGGAACAACAGCAAACGAAGAAAAAAAACTCAACATTAAATTGAACATTGTTAATCAACTGATTAATTTAGAGCAATGTGTTTCTTCTGTCGCTCTCAAATTAGTGTCTAAATTGCTCTCTTCAATTATTATTGAGACAATGATGATAATAATGTGAAAGTGTTTCTTATTGTATCATTTTCATTGCAAACATTGTTTCTCTTCCAAATTGTTTCGACCCTTTATAATAATTATCATTGAACTTTTTTCCCCTTTCTCCTTTACTCTACCTCTTAAGGCAATTTTATAATGGCTTATGTTAGATATGATCTAATCATGTTATAAATACAAAATATACCATAGAGAGTGTTGCTTATTTGAGGAAAACCTTAAAGCAAATGAAAGGTCAAATGGATTCATATTGAAATTGATGAAAACTAAACTGATGGTAAAATGAAAAACAATTGTAAATTAAAATCAAACTTGTTTCAACTTTGCTCAATATCTGGTTTCCATTTATTTATCATCAATTCAAGAAAACGACTTCTTCTCGAAGCCAAATAGACTATACTTTAGCTCGGCTGATTCTTGTGTATAAAATTGTCCAGTTTCACCAGAAAACTGGAGTAACAATAAAACCTAAAACCAAAATCTGAGCTGCATAGAGTCCAGATAGTATTGCACCATTACTAACTTTTATTAGGCTATTAGCTTCTGTCTGTTCTGTCTTTTGTATATAGTGAAACTTCAATTAAAAGTAATTCAAAGTCTTGTCATTAAAGAAGTTTTGTTCTTGTAAAGACTTGAAAATGTCAAGAACGTATGGTGCTGCATCTGGCGACCCTCGCTCATCAATGTATTACACACCCTCAACTGTGGAACAAGAAGCCCGCAAATGTACAAAGAACGGCGAGATGTTGGCAGTAACTGTTAGTTTCAATGGTATTAAAGATTAGAGCGCCCATTGACGATTGGAGGTCATATACAGAGATACTTCATATAAAATGATAGTGTATGACCCTATGGTTGCTTCGCATAATAGCCCTGGAAGTATTGAAAAAATCATTCAAAAAATTACATGATTCAATATTACATAAGCTTGCTTCATTTGAAATTAATTTTAATTAAAATATGACAAGAAGTAAATGATGAGAGGATACTAAATAAAACAGCAAATCCTGATCCAACAATGAACCATAAACCTAAAGCACTGTAAGTTTTCCCAGCCTGCATTTATCTGAGTTCTGAGATGAATTTTCTATTTTTTGTAGATGTAAAGCTAGCAGTCAGTTAACGACTGTCAATGGTCAACTTTATGAAATTTTAGTTTTTCAGTTCAGTAAAAAAATAAGCCTTATTTTGTTACTCCAGTCTCCTTTGATTGGACAATTTAAACATCATAAAATCGTTCAATAATATTTTTCTCGAACCATTCATTTGAATATTGCATGTGTTCGTAGGGACATTCAACAGTGAAGAATCGACCCTGTTCATCCAATTCTTTCAACCCAATGTAATCCTCAGTATATAAATCAGTCTCATTGTATGGTATCACTTCAGTTTCTGAACCCTCTTTGAACCAGCCAAACATGGGTGACTCTTTAGGTTTCATAATAGTATCTCCGCTACACCAGACAGCAATAAATCTTTGAACTTTTAAAAGATTTTCCTTTGGAAATTTTATTGAAGGAAGTCTATTGTTGATTAGGTTCACGAAGTTATTAGACGGAGCACAAGCGTTTGGATCAACCCAAAGTCCGGGTAAGGTGGCATTGTTACCGATTACATTCATTATCGGCGTAAAGATTGAAGGTGTATCCAAACCGGGGGCAATGGAAGCTGCAGCTTCTTGAACTGCATCCAATTTGTCACAAATACCTGTGAAAATGTCTTCTATTATTTGGCAATTAGGTATTCCGAAGATTCCTTGCTGTGGTCCACACATGGAGATCACATCAGTGATATTAAGTTCTGGACACATCTGAACTAAACCTCTTGCTGCAGTTCCACCTAAAGAATGGCCAATAAGGGCGAATCCATTTTTCAATTCAGGATCATTGGTTAGTTGACGGCAAACATTCATCACTTGCTTATCCATTCTCATGTGAAGTGCAATGTCCAATTCATGCTCTTCAGTTCCAATTTGAATCGATTTAACTTTAGCTCCGTACTTTTCAAAACTTCTAACAGTGTTTTCAGCAGGTGTCGTTGACTTGCCTGCACCATGCCAAACAACCACTGTTGTTAAAGGTTTTTTAGCTGGTGGTGAACCATCAACTGATTTAGTCAAGTTGACCCAGCAAATGCAAATCAAAAGACAAGTAAAACGCAGTAGTTTGGAATCCATCTTTGTAATGACTTTGAATCTGAAATGTGAATAAAAAGGTTTTAATAATTATTTGAACATGAAATTTGAATGGTTAAACATATTCACCTTCGCACTAACAAGATCAACTATTGTAGGATCAACACAATTCTTATTAATTTAACTATTCAAATTCAAGTTGAAAAATGTTGTTACGACTTGTTAAATTGAAGAAATTTTCCTTCTGGTTGTTTAACATTCATCAATTGAATAATTCAGCTTATGAATATGGTTTAAACATCAACATTCATGTAATTTTATGAACAAAGATATTAATGTTATCAGCTAGACTGGTTATTAAAATGCTTTGCTAGGTAAGAAGCGGACCTTCAGACATGCGACTATTAGTCGATAACATGAACAATTGTATAAATTAAAGCCTTTAACTTCATCATGCATCGCAGTAATGATTAATAATGAAGGAAACTTGTTACAATTTTCTTAGTCAAATCTAAATAACTTTGTAATAAAACAATAACAATTGCTAAGTAATATTTGCTATCATGACATTTCTAGTACACTGGAACCAATACGCAAAAGTACCAAAGCGTAGTAAAATAAAATTGAACTTTCAAAACAGTTTCATTTATTTGACGTTTCTACTTGCACTTATCTGATTAATCAATTCTCTTTTATTTTCACCAAAATCATGCAGAAAAATATCAAATAATATGCTTTTATTTCTTGTTAATCGTACCTTTTACCCTTTTATTACAACAATAAAAGCACAACAAAGATGTTGATTACAATTGATCAACAATAAAGAATTGACAAAATTAGTAAAAACAATCAAAAGGCTGAGGTTTATAAAGTTACTGATCGAATCTTGAATTACTCATTTAAACATTTCTTAATCAAGATCACAATCAATCTACATTTAAATTACTAAATTATTAATAAAAAAAATCATCGTCAGAATGAGTCCAAAAATAAAATCTACAGCTTTTGTCAAATTGATAATATTGGGATGAACAAGGGCTTTTTTAAGGAAGCTTTTATGTTGGAGGTAGACTTGATGATTTGTTGCAGAGGCTGTTATTTCATTTTTTAAAAACTAATCTTGTGACAAAGAGTGATCTTTATGTCAGTGTTGAAAGTTTGCGAGTTAATATGTTGAGCTTGAAGAAGATTCATATGATACTAGTAGGAGAACACAAAATGATTGAATAATTTAAACATCATAAAATTTTTCAATAACATCTTTCTCAAACCATTCATTTGGATATTCCATGTGTTCGTATGGACATTCAACAGTAAAGTATCGACCCTGCTCGTCCAAATCTTTCAATCCAATGTAATCCTCAGTATATAAATCAGTCTCATTGTATGGTATGATTTCAGTTTCTGAACCCTCTTTGAACCAGCCAAACATGGGTGACTCTTTAGGCTTCATAATAGTATCTCCAGTATCTCCGCTACACCAAACAGCAATGAATATTTGAATTTTGAAAAGTTTCTCCTTTGGAAATTTAGTTTCAAGTCTATTGTTGATGAGGTTCATGAAGTTATCAACTGGAGGAGGAGAGGCGTTTGGATCAACCCAAAGTGAGGGTAAGGTATAATTGTCTTTCACTGCATTCATTGCAGGCGTGAATATTGAAGGTGTATCAAACTCGGTGAAATGGAGCTGCAGCTTCTTTTACTTTATTCAGTTTATCACAAATGACGGCAAAGTTTTCTGGTATCATTTGACAACTAGGTATGTCAAACATTCCTTGTTGTGGTCCACATATAGATATTACATCAGTGATATTAAGTTCTGGACACATCTGAACTAAACCTCTTGCTGCAGTTCCACCTAAAGAAAGTCCGATCAAAGCAAATCCGTTTTTCAATTCAGGATCATTGGTTAGTTGACGACAAACATTCATCACTTGTTTATCCAGTTTCATGTGAAGGGTAATGTCCCATTCATGCTCTTCAGCTCCAATTTGAACTAATTTAACTTTAGCACCGTACTTTTCTAAGCTCAAAACAGTGTCTACAGTTAGCTCAGCCGACGTACCTCCACCAGCGACATGCCAAACAACCATTAATGGCAAGGGTTTTTTAGTTGGTGGTGAACAATCAACTGATCTGGTCAAGTTGATACAGCAAATGAAAATAAGGCTCACAAATTTAGAGTCCATCTTTTTGGAGCCTTTTGAATCCATTTTGAATCTGAAATGTGAATTAAAGGGTTTACATAATGAAATTTGAATTGATAAAACATAGTTACCTGCAAATTAAAGTAAAATATTAAAACACAAATTTTTATTGAAATACGACTGTAAATAAAATGGAAACTCGTTGAGGTAAAGAAACTGTTATTTTTGTAGTTTGCATTCATTGACAACAGCGATTTAGCTACTTATATCAATATGATTTAAACATTAACATTTATGTAATTTGTAAACAGCGAATTGTTACAATTGCCTCAATCAAGTACAGAAAATTGCTCAACTGTAATAAAACAAATGTAATTTGCTTTCGAAACAGTTCTATTAATAGTTCCAAAGCATAGCAACTTGAAATTTATTCATTTATTTGTTGATCAACTTTTATAAGGATCTTTTGTTTACAATATCTTTCCAGATAGCTCAAAATAAAGAGTCACAGGGAAATATGATTATCGGTGTTGTCATCTGCTGTTGGTGTATCGCAAACTGAATGAAAGAAATGAAGTTTCAGGGCTATAAAATGCTTTAATACTTATTTTACTAATGATACATCAGTAAGATAAGTTTCGCTGGAAAATCTGCTTCCATAGCTCAACAAAAAGCGATCGAAGTTTCAACCTTGACATCAATTCTCTCGAAAACTGTCCATCGGATGAATTATTCAATAGCACCAATCGATGCAGTTTTTGTGTCCCAACAAACCTACTAACTACTTTGTAAGTCTCGACTCTTTACTCGAATGTTTGAGCCTTTAGCAGTACTCATTCGCAAGTTAACCAGAGAATTGGTCTATTCACCAAGAAATGGGTTTAGATGAGTTTTGCTTGTTGAATAAGTTGTTGCCACTTACAATCCAAGCATCATGACCCAAATGCTCTAATGGAAATTTATAAAATTGCATTGAATTATTACCTAGTGAAGAATTAAGTCGGTTAAAGGATTATGATTGTAAGTAATGCCATTCTCGAAATATCGAGGCTCAAAGTTTAAGGCCGATTGCCAAAATCGAGACAAACTGTTCAAGAATTGAAAGAAGCATTCAATCCATGATGTGAGCCAAAAATTTTATACACAAATAATAAGTTACTAACTCTTGTGGTCATAGATTGCGACCGGTTTAACTAAAAATCGAACTGATCTTTTTTACAGAAACAAGAAAATTTTATTGCTCAAAATAAGTACATTTTCTCGTTAAACAGCAAAAGTTAAATTATAAAAATGATTTTGATGAAAAAATCTGGTCGTACAGTTGTACAAAAGGCGATCGAAGTTTCAACTTTGAACTCAATTTTCTCGAAAACTGTGGATCAGAGAAACTTTTGAATGGCTCAAATGGACTTGATTTTCTTGTTCCAACAAGCTAACAGTCTCTAATATTTGAAAGAAATTAATTTTTACGCGTTTTTGCTCATTTGTGTCAATTTTAGTCGATTTGTATAAAAATGTAACAATTGTATTGATTGTGTCTTTTTATAATAGTAACAACTAATTTTTCAGATGGTGGGTCTATTGCATTTTTGATAATCTCCAATAATACGTAAAAGCATATTAGAATGTCCAACTCGACCTTTCCAGTATTATATCTTGAAAACTTCATTTCCTTCATTCCTTTTGCGATAAACCAAACAACATCGATAATTATATTTCTCTGTGACTCTTTACCGTAAACTATCTTAGCTTATAGTAAATTTAACAAGAATTGTTTTATTTGAATCAAGTAGAGGTGAACCACTTTGCAAGTTAATGGTTACACGAACGAAAGGACTTTCGCAGTTTCTATTCTTCCATTTCCCAAACCAATAGCTCAGATCTGCATCAAATGCGTGATTTTGCTGGTTCGGTGAAAGTTTTACATTCTTAAATTTCTTTGGCAACGGAACCTCAATCAAGTTGAAATAATAAAAAAAAGTAAGTTTTTGAAGTTACAGTGAAATGTCATTCAAATCTATTATAATTTTAGTACGATTAAGCCATGAAAATTACCGGAGAGCTGTCTGAGGCACTGTAATAGTGATACACAATCAAGAATTTTTTGTTTCGTAAACATGTTAATGACTAGTTACCGTTCTTCCATTACTATTCTTTAGTCCAACTCGTATTTCCATTTTACCTCCAACTGGAGCGGCGAACTGTTGTGGCCCATTTATTAAGTATTATTAATATTATCAATGGTCACAACAATTTCATAAAATTAAGTTTGTCAGGAAATAAATTAAACCGTATTTTGTTATTGCAGTCTCCTTTAACAGAGAAGTTGAGTTTTATTTTGCAAAAATCATTCTTGGTATGACTATCAAATTAAGATAGCTTCAAATAACATTGTTAATAGATAAGTATAGACATTGTAATATATCAAGTTTAAGGAAGAATCAATATTTCATGAAATCACAAATCGATCAACCAATTTAAACATCATAAAATCGTTCAATAATATTTTTCTCGAACCATTCACCTGGATATTTCATGTGTTCGTAGGGACATTCAACAGGGAAATATCGCCCTTGCTCATCCAATTCCTTCAATCCGATGTAGTCCTCAGTATACAAATCAGTCTCATTAAATGGTAGCACTTCAGTTATTGAACCATCTTTAAAGTAGCCAAACATAGGTGACGTTTTAGGTTTCATGATCGTATCTTTGCTACACCAAACAGCAATTAATCTTTGAATCTTTAAAAGATTTTCCTTTGGAAATTTCGTTTCAAGTCTATTGTTGATGAGGTTCATGAAGTTATCAGCTGGTGGTGGAGAAGCGGTTGGATCGACCCAAAGTGAGATTAAGGTATAATTGTCTTTGACTGCATTCATTACAGGTGTGAATATTGAAGGAGTATCGAACTCGGGTGAAATGGAAGCTGCAGCTTCTCTCACATCATTCAGTTTATCGCAAATGTCTGTGAAAATTCCTTCTATTGATTCACAACTAGGTATTCCGAAGATTCCTTGCTGAGGTCCACACATGGATATTACATCGGTGATATTAAGTTCTGGACACATCTGGGGTAACGCTCTTACTGCAGTTCCACCTAAAGAAAGTCCAATTAAAGCAAATCCGTTTTTCAATTCAGGATCATTGGTTAGTTGACGACAAGCATTCATAACTTGTTTCTCCATCTGCATGTGAAGCGCAATGTCCAATTCCTCCTCTTCTCCTTCTCCAATTTGAATCTTTTTAATTTTAGCATTGTACTTTTTCAAACTCGTAACAGTGTCTTCAGTAAGCTCAGCTGATGAACCTCCACCAGCGGCATGCCAAATAACCATTGTTGGTAAAGGTTTTTTAGCTATTGGTGAGCCATCAACTGATCTGGTTAAGTTGATACAGCAAATGAAAACCAAAAGACAAGTAAAACTCAGCAGTTTAGAATCCATCTTTCTAAAGGCTTTCGAATCGATTTTGAATCTGGAATGTGAATAAAAAGGTTTCAATAATTATTTGAACATAAGATCAGAATGGCTAAACATATTTACCTTTGAACTATAGTCAGACAAAACACAACTTATTAGATTGACTATTTTAATTCAAGTTGAAAACTTGAGATGAAATTTTGTTTGACTGGTTTAACATTCACTGCAGCGATTCAGCTACTTATATGAATTTGGTCTAACCATGAACATTAATGTAATTTTAGTAAAAATATATGGATCTTATCAGCCAGACTGGTTATTAAAAGGCTTTCTAGGCAACAAGCTGACCTTCATTACACAATACTAATAACGTTTGTATAAATTCAAGCCTTTAGTTTCGCAATTACGATTAAAATGAAAAAATTTGACGCAAATTGTTACAATTTCCTTGATCAAGTTTTCAACGGTTGTCCCATTTGCAATAAAACAATAATAATTGCTAAGTAATATTTGTTTATTAAACAGTTCTAACGTTAACATAGTTTCAAAGCATATTTTTATAGCAACTTTGAATTGAATTTTCATGAGTTTAATTCATTGATTGTTTTGACTTTCACATATTTTATCAACTATATCCGCTTTTTAATTCGCCTTAAAATTCCCTAATGAAAAATACCAATAAATTTACGGTTATTTCTTGTTGTAACATAAAATCAGATTTGTTTCAACTTTGCTCAATATCTGGTTTCCATTTATTTAATATCAATTCAAGAAAACGACTTCTTTTCGAAGTCAAATAAACTATAAGTGAGATTAATTTAAATATAAATAATAATAATACAATAATTCCTGTTTAAAGTATAGTTAAAGCTAGCAATTTGTTTATTTACAAATAGGTTTGTTAGATCTGGCAAAAATTTGAGTTTAGCGGGTTTTCATAGTAACAACCAATTCGATTAAGTATAGGCGGAGCTAAGAAACATATGTTTCAATATCAATGTGAAAAAATAACAATTGTGCATGTTTTTATTTATTGTTATTTGTGTCATTTTTGGGGCTAGTGATTTGAATCAAGCAAAATGTTACCAATAAGAAGTTGTTCATTAATTTTTCGACGAAATATTTGGAAATTCAAAAGATATCAACCTCCATTAGTTGCACCAGAAAATTTGGAATCACCTTATATTGTTGGTCCATATATTCGTGATAGATTACCAGAACAAACTATATTTGAACCAAGAGTACGTTATGATGATGTTTATGAATTTGTTAAGCAAACAGATGACGATCCTGTTCCTCCAATGAAAGTTTTACTTCTTGAAAATGTACCCAATTTAGGAGTTGCTGGTGAAATATTAGAAGTTCCTGGGGAAATTGCAAGATACAAATTGATTCCTAGTCAACAAGCAACTTATGCTTCCGATTTAAATATTAAACTTTATAGTGATCTTATACAGAAATGTTTAAATAATCCTGATGCTCCTTCATCCCGTTTATCAATTGTTACAACTGAAAAACTTAAATCACAATTTATTCTGGTAACTATGAGTTCTGATACATCTTGGACAATTGAACCATGGCATATTCGTGTTGCTTGTAGAAGGATTGGTTTAGTTGTTCCAGAATATGCAATTAAATTACCTGATAAACCAATAAGTGGACCAAATTTAGATTATGAAATGAAAGATTTTGTTATTCAAATTACTGTTAACAAGAATCCAAGGGAAACTGTTAATGTTAGATGTGTTGTTCATCATGTTAAAGAAAAACTATTAACTGAATGGCATAGACGAGTACCAAGAACTGCAATAATACCCGAACAACAAACATTACTCGATAGTATGCCTAAATTTGAACCATATTATGATGATGATGAAGATAAAGCTACATTTGAATGAATTCATCTCTAGCTCCATAAAGCGAATTGGACATATTTCGTTTCATCTTTAATCCATCGACCTTTTATTGATAGAAAATATGCTTATTTATCGTTTTACCAATGAAAAAGTTGTGATAGTAATTACAAAGAAATGAATTAATTTGCTGGCGGATTTCAATTTCTCTGGTTTGCACTGCCTCGTAGCCCTGTTTAATATCCTGTCATTTACAAGTTGTTCACATATTCTCCTAGCTGTACAAATTATAACTCGGACGTACTTCGCTCAAATGACTGGCCGCATATCTGATCTAATTCAATCCTTTCAATATTATGTGATTGGTACAATATTCATTTGATACCTTTATAGTTTGCAACCCTGTAAATTGGCGATGTAGTAACAGCGAATTGAATATCTATTATTTAATCTAATTTAATCTATTTAAATTAAATTTCTATGATTAAGCTCATCAACTTTGAATTTAAATAAAAAATCATTTGAGAGAAATTTTTCTGCATTTTAAATCCTGTAAGACGTTTAACAAAGCATAAACAATTTTAATGATGGTTTTGGCGCCAAACTGAGTGGAGATTTAAATTTTCAAGGTGAAAATCAAAGAAGCTTTTTAACTCTCAAAGCACTCTTGAACTTTATTATATTTTTCTTGAAATAAACCAATGAACTTTCAAATTTATTGATAAAGCTCGAATAGTTTTGTATCGATAAGTCCAGAATATCAATCCGTTATCATGAATAATTCACATCTCAATTTACAGGATTGATACATGCATTGAATAAAATGGATCATTTTTTTATAGAATCTAATTTTTTCAGAGTCCATACGCTCTGAAAAATTCGGCCTCAATGCGATCTTGATAAGTGAAAAGACGAAGAGATTTAAAACACCAACACACATTTTTTGACAAATGCGCTTGCGTTATCTCGATGTAGTACTCGATACCAATGTTGTTCTAGCTTTATAGTTGAACCAGAAAAAATTGTGGTAACAAAAATAACAGAGTGGTTTAAATAACTATTTTTCAAATCGCAGTGGGTAAGTAGATAATTTGAAAAATAAATATTATTTAATATAAAATTTAAATTTATGTTGAACCGGAAAACCAGAATCCAGTAAAAATGTAATTACAAACTGAACCAGAAAGGCGGTATCATATATGGATGACCCCTGGTTTAACGCCGTTCGCGGTTAATGCTTAATATTTCTTGTTGCCTCCAGTTTCTTTGACAATACATTCTTGTTTCTTTTTAAATCCTAGCAATTATTCTGTGAACCTAACCTATTTTAATTAAATATTTTTATTCATTGTGTCCCTAATTATCAATTAATTTTATCCCATTATCAAGGTTTGTAATATAAAACAACCTTTACTACTTCGTTTATCCTGTTTCTCTTTCTTTTTCACTCTCTTGTCATATTTCTCTATTTTCACGCACAGTGTTTGTACTTACTGGTCTCTCTGGTTTTTGGGTATTCCTCTTCTTTTCTTTCATCTTCATTAGCACCTAACTTGCTCATCAAATATCCAGTTTCATTTTATTTAATTTCTATTTATTTTTATTTATACAAGTGATAATCTGGTTGTTCCCACCATTTTGTGTCTTTCTGTTTTGTTTCTTCTTTCCTTATCTTTTATCCATTACTTTTAAAAAACCAACCCATTTTTTTGCTATCTTTGGATATTTTCAGGAAACATGAGTGCTGGTCCATCCATTTTAAAGACCAAAGGTACTCATACAGTTAACCATGCAACCACTAGTGAAATGGTTGCCTTAAAAAGCGGTGATGAATCTTTCTTTGATTTTTCTGGTGCTCGTTCACTTGGGTCTATTGAAAATGAAGATAGTCAACCTCCTACCAAAAGACGAAAGCAGGATGTCAAAAGTGGCAAAGGGTTACGGCATTTTTCCATGAAGGTTGGTATTTTTTGTGGTTGCCTGCAAATTTTGGAAGGTTACATGTAACAAAAGCCTACTAGTCCAGATTAGTATCCAAGTGGTTTACAGGTTGAATGCAGACCTTTCTACAAGATTCCATTTTTTTCATTATACTCATTACGGAATTTTTAATTTTTACACATTTTTTATTTAATTAATAGGTATGTCAAAAGGTTAAAGATAAAGGCACGACAACTTACAATGAAGTTGCTGATGAATTGGTCGCTGAATTTTCTTCTGACCCACTTGCAAACCGTACTGCTTTTTCTGGTAGATTCTCAGGAGGTGATGCTGAGCCATTTGATCAAAAAAATATTAGACGACGTGTATATGATGCCCTAAATGTTCTTATGGCAATGAATATAATCAACAAAGAGAAAAAAGAAATCAAATGGATCGGTTTACCCACCAATGCATCTCAAGAGGTTGTCGAGTTAGAAAAGGAGAAGCAAGAACGGTTAGAAAAAATCAGTGCCAAGAAAGAACAATTGAGAGACCTATTGATTCAACATATTGCTCTCAGAAATTTGATTGAAAGAAACAAAAGTGATCCTGTTGTATCTTCCAATGCCAAAATCCATTTACCATTTATAATTGTAAATACAGACAAACGCACGGTCATTGATTGCTCCATAAGTAATGACAAAACAGAGTATCTGTTTAATTTTGATAATGCGTTTGAAATTCATGATGACGTTGAAGTCTTGAAACGAATGGGTATGGCTTTAGGTTTAGATCGCAATGAATTGGTACAAATTGACCGGGATGTCTATGAAAAAGCACGAACATTACTGCCAGAAGCTTTAAGATCCAGCCTTGATGAAATGGTTGAAGAAAAGGGCACCATTATAACAAATTAGCTATAAATTTTTGCTGTTCAAAATTTCCAAATTTAATTTTTAGAAAATCGACTATGTTTATTGGACTTCAATTTTAAATAAAACGATTTAATATCATTTCTTTGTGAAAACAGTTTATTTGAAAGTTATCATATCATGTCATCAATTTTTTCAGAAATCTTTACTGTTCCTTTGTTTACAGGATTCTATTTGATAAACTGACTTTAATGATGAATAGATCAGATCTCTCGATGAATTGGAGAGATTCAATGTTTTAGTAAAATCAATTTTAGCATACGATTGAGGTGGATAATTACTATTCGGTTTGAAGGCAGTGTAGTTCCTAGATAAATGAAAGAACCTTCCTCAGTAGTTTTAAATACAAGAGTAGCTGAACCAGTCGTAACATAGGGCTATTCGTATTATTATTTTCAGGATATAATGTGATATAGTTTACAGGCTGGTAATTTTGGATAGTGTTAGTGATTCATTCTAGCACTTCTCATCTTCTTGTCAATTTAGTCAACCAATGTTTCTCTTCCAACCAATCTTCTTGATAAGATTGACTAGATGAGCCTTGGAAGTCTGTGGAGGATGAATATGATGGAAAAATTGTGGCGGTTTAGCAGGTTTAGCATAAATTGAACAATTTTGCTCTGATGATTGTTAGCAATAAATTTCTCACATGTCAACTGCACTCTACTGGATAAAGACTCATTTTCAATTTTACTTTTGTTTTTTTCGGAGCGATAACAGTTAGTTCAGTGGTGTTAACGGTGGAGTCTAATACGCCGGTTTGATATTGAGCTCAGGTAGTATCAATATTATCATAATTGACAAGGCCATCTAATTTAGCATAATTAGTGGCTATATCACGAGCACTTCTTGCTGATTCAGTCCAGCAATGGTTCCATTCAGCACTCCTACATTTGCATAAAAGGGTGAATTGAAGATTGCTAAGATTGAGAAATTATTAACAGTCCCTTGATTAGCCTCACGCTGAGGTGAGGTGATATGATTATTTGGCGTTGATATGTCACTAAAATATTGAAAGACATTGAATAGCTGCTCTGCATGCACACATTTGATACCTGTGAAGAAAATAGCAGACGAACATTATCCATGAAAAAACTATCTTAATGGTTCAAACTTATATTTTGTTACATAGTCCGTTTATTCCTACTGTCAATCGAAGATTTTCTTTACATTTATAAAATAATTGAACCGAAGCATTAATTATGTAAACTTGAAATTTTTATATTTTTAACTGTTAGATTAACTAGCAAAATTTTAGGTTTGATCTTCCAATACATTATTTACATATGATTATTTTACAGATCGAATTACATACTATGATTTGAGAGTTGTGAGAAGAATTAATCTTATGCTCGAATCATTCAAATGTAGCTTTATCTTCATCATCATCATAATATGGTTCAAATTTAGGCATACTATCGAGTAATGTTTGTTGTTCGGGTATTATTGCAGTTCTTGGTACTCGTCTATGCCATTCAGTTAATAGTTTTTCTTTAACATGATGAACAACACATCTAACATTAACAGTTTCCCTTGGATTCTTGTTAACAGTAATTTGTATAACAAAATCTTTCATTTCATAATCTAAATTTGGTCCACTTATTGGTTTATCAGGTAATTTAATTGCATATTCCGGAACAACCAAACCAATCCTTCTACAAGCAACACGAATATGCCATGGTTCAATTGTCCAAGATGTATCAGAACTCATAGTTACCAGAATAAATTGTGATTTAAGTTTTTCAGTTGTAACAATTGATAAACGGGATGAAGGAGCATCAGGATTATTTAAACATTTCTGTATAAGATCACTATAAAGTTTAATATTTAAATCGGAAGCATAAGTTGCTTGTTGACTAGGAATCAATTTGTATCTTGCAATTTCCCCAGGAACTTCTAATATTTCACCAGCAACTCCTAAATTGGGTACATTTTCAAGAAGTAAAACTTTCATTGGAGGAACAGGATCGTCATCTGTTTGCTTAACAAATTCATAAACATCATCATAACGTACTCTTGGTTCAAATATAGTTTGTTCTGGTAATCTATCACGAATATATGGACCAACAATATACGGTGATTCCAAATTTTCTGGTGCAACTAATGGAGGTTGATATCTTTTAAATTTCCAAATATTTCGTCGAAAAATTAATGAACAACTTCTTATTGGTAACATTTTGCTCAATTCAAATCACTAGCCCCAAAAATGACACAAATAACAATAAATAAAAACATGCACAATTGTTATTTTTTCACATTGATATCGAACATATGTTTCTTAGCTCCGCCTACAAATGTGAATTGTAAAGAAACTCCCGCTAAATTTAACTGTTTTACACACAATATTTTCCCAAATTTACAAAGTAACTTATTTATTTAATCCATTTAATCTGAATTTTATTAACATACATTTAAAAAGATAGGTATTGGTTTAAACATTTTCAGCTAATATCAAGTATGTTGCAGATAATCCAGAGTTAATTGAATCAATTTAGGTCGAAAATTGCGCAAAATGAAACGAGTTGGGTTTTGATTTCAAATTTTTCATTGAACAAGTAGCAATTGATTTTTCTTTGTTTGGTTAAGTTAAAATCATCATTAATCTCAAAGATTTTCTCAATAATTTTCCATCATAACATGATTAGACAATATCTAACAAGGGTCATTATAACATGTCCATCAGAGGTAGAGGAAGCAATAGGGAATGATAAATATAATCTTTAGGAGAGTCCAGAAGCGTAATTTATGTTATTATGTATATATGTATTTATTTATAGATATATATGCATTCGGCGCGTAGTTGATTATGTATTTAAGGAAATTTATCATCCATAAGGTATTGCTAATTTATTATAATGGTGCCTTTTTCTTCGACCATTTCATCAAGGCTGGATCTTAAAGCTTCTGGCAGTAGTGTTCGTGCTTTTTCATAGACATCCCGGTCAATTTGTACCAATTCATTGCGATCTAAACCTAAAGCCATACCCATTCGTTTCAAGACTTCAACGTCATCATGAATTTCAAACGCATTATCAAAATTAAACAGATACTCTGTTTTGTCATTACTTATGGAGCAATCAATGACCGTGCGTTTGTCTGTATTTACAATTATAAATGGTAAATGGATTTTGGCATTGGAAGATACAACAGGATCACTTTTGTTTCTTTCAATCAAATTTCTGAGAGCAATATGTTGAATCAATAGGTCTCTCAATTGTTCTTTCTTGGCACTGATTTTTTCTAACCGTTCTTGCTTCTCCTTCTCTAACTCGACAACCTCTTGAGATGCATTGGTGGGTAAACCGATCCATTTGATTTCTTTTTTCTCTTTGTTGATTATATTCATTGCCATAAGAACATTTAGGGCATCATATACACGTCGTCTAATATTTTTTTGATCAAATGGCTCAGCATCACCTCCTGAGAATCTACCAGAAAAAGCAGTACGGTTTGCAAGTGGGTCAGAAGAAAATTCAGCGACCAATTCATCAGCAACTTCATTGTAAGTTGTCGTGCCTTTATCTTTAACCTTTTGACATACCTATTAATTAAATAAAAAATGTGTAAAAATTAAAAATTCCGCGATGAGTATAATGAAAAAAATGGAATCTTGTAGAAAGGTCTTCATTCTACCATTAAACCTTTTCTATTGGATACTAATCTAAACTAATAGGCTTTTTGTACATGCAGCCTTCTGAAATTTGCAAATGATCACAAAAAATACTTACTTTCATTGAAAAATGCCTCAATCCTTTACCACTTTTGGCATCCTGCTTTCGTCTTTTAGTAGGAGGTTGACTATCTTCATTTTCAATAGACCCAAGTGAACGAGCACCAGAAAAATCAAAGAAAGATTCATCGCCACTTTTTAAGGCAACCATTTCGCTAGAGGTTGCATGGTTAACCGTATGAGTACCCTTGGTTTTTAAAATGGATGGGCCAGCATTCATTTTCCTGAGTATATCCAGAGATAGAAAAAAATGTGATATTGTTAAAAGTAATGGATAAAAGATATGGAAAGCAGAAACAAACAGTAAGACACAAGATGGTGTTAATAATTAGATTATCACTTGAATAAATAAAAATAAACACAAATTAAATTAAATGAAACTGGATATTTGATGAGTAAGTTAGGTGCTAATGAAGATAAAGAAAAGAAGAATACCCAAAAAACCAGAGAGACCAGTAAGTACAAACACTGTGCGTGAAAATAGAGAAATATGACAAGAGAGTGAAAAAGAAAGAGAAACAGGATAAACGAAGTAGTAAAAGGTTGTTTTATATTACAAACCTTGATAATGGGATAAAATTAATTGATAATTAGAGACACAATGACTCAAAAAATTTAATTAAAATAGGTTTAGTTCACCAAATAATTGTTAGGGTTTAAAAAGAAACAAGAATGTATTGTCAAAGAAACTGGAGGCAACAAGAAATATTAAGCATTAACCGCGAACGGCGTTAAACCAGGGGGTCATCCATATATGATACCGCCTTTCTGGTTCAGTTTGTAATTACATTTTTACTGGATTCTGGTTTTTTTCCGGTGCAACAAAAATGGAAATTATTATAGTAACTAATACCTATTTTTAAAATTATTTTTTTTGTCCTCGTATTCTCGTTAAAATGGTAATTCAATTTAAACAAGTTATCTGAGCAGTTACTTGTGTTAAAACAATTTTATCCTGGTTTACAGCTTCAATATCATTTTAAATATCACCTGTCTAGAAGCTACCAATTGGTATTTGAATTTTGTCAGTATAACAGAGCTTTAAGGTCTATAGATACCAGGTTTGAGTAAACAATTAAATGTTCTGAGAGTTTGAAATAGAGGGAAAATGTATTGTACTTTGTACTTTTATTGTAAATGCAAGTCTGATGTGTAAATATTAATAGATAATGAAGAATGTACAATATATTAGATCCTTCTGTTGTAAACTCAATATGCCGTGCTTTTGAGACTTGATGGTGAATGACGAATTCTCGGGCTTAAAAATTTTATTCGCCAACATAAGGCCATACCAGACGGAAACTGAATAAATAGAGATATTTATATCCTTAAAAGATTTTACAAATCGTAACTCGTCAATCACAGGATATTATCAGAGATACATCATGCATGCTAATATATGTAAAGCGTTTAATTGCTGTGAAGCCAGAAAGCTGGGACCTTAGCAAACAAATACGAGATGAGCTCTGTGTCTAGCTGGATATTTCCTATCAATAGCATATAATATCGTGAAAATCCGCTGAATTTTAGATGGAATAAGTTTTATTCGCTTTATGGAGCTAGAGATGAATTCATTCAAATGTAGCTTTATCTTCATCATCATCATAATATGGTTCAAATTTAGGCATACTATCGAGTAATGTTTGTTGTTCAGGTATTATTGCAGTTCTTGGTACTCGTCTATGCCATTCAGTCAATAGTTTTTCTTTAACATGATGAACAACACATCTAACATTAACAGTTTCCCTTGGATTCTTGTTAACAGTAATTTGTATAACAAAATCTTTCATTTCATAATCTAAATTTGGTCCACTTATTGGTTTATCAGGTAATTTAATTGCATATTCAGGAACAACCAAACCAATTCTTCTACAAGCAACACGAATATGCCATGGTTCAATTGTCCAAGATGTATCAGAACTCATAGTTACCAGAATAAATTGTGATTTAAGTTTTTCAGTTGTAACAATTGATAAACGGGATGAAGGAGCATCAGGATTATTTAAACATTTCTGTATAAGATCACTATAAAGTTTAATATTTAAATCGGAAGCATAAGTTGCTTGTTGACTAGGAATCAATTTGTATCTTGCAATTTCCCCAGGAACTTCTAATATTTCACCAGCAACTCCTAAATTGGGTACATTTTCAAGAAGTAAAACTTTCATTGGAGGAACAGGATCGTCATCTGTTTGCTTAACAAATTCATAAACATCATCATAACGTACTCTTGGTTCAAATATAGTTTGTTCTGGTAATCTATCACGAATATATGGACCAACAATATACGGTGATTCCAAATTTTCTGGTGCAACTAATGGTGGTTGATATCTTTTAAATTTCCAAATATTTCGTCGAAAAATTAATGAACAACTTCTTATTGGTAACATTGTAAAAAATCTACGGAAAAAGAGCAAGTAAAAATTAATTTATTAATCCAATAATAATGGGCTGAATTGGCATTAAAAATCCTTATTTTCACATTTCCCAAAACATATGTTTTCTAGCTCCGCCTACAAGTTCGTGTTTCCAATTCTTGTCAAATTTAATTTTATTCAAGTAAAATTCCGAACTGGTTCTATAAATAATTTTGTCAACCAATTTAATTTCGCTTTATTTCCAATCATTAATAATTTTCACACCCAATTCATTATCTAAACACACCTGAAATATGGAATTAAAATATTTCATCCTTTTATCCTTTTGAATTTGGCGCTTCAATTTCACTTCAGTTTTCATTCAATATCAGCTGAGACTTCAAAACACCAAAACTATTATTTGTTCTTGACAACAACTTCTTGTCATAATCTTATTCGTTTTTTGCACTAAAAAGCCCGATTTAACATTAAACTTTATAGCGTAGTAAAATTGAATTTATTTGAGTTAGTAAACTATTTTTATATTAAGCAACATCTAAATATCAAAGCGGACATGTGCAAATTTTAAAAAAGACTGGCTGTTAAGCGTAATAAACTTTATATGGCTAATATTTTCATCCAAGGGAATCGTCAAAAACGAGTTGGAGATTAGAAATAAAATGATGTTCGAAGTTATCATTCATCAACAAGCTTGTTGTGGACTCTCATTAAACTTTTGAAGTATTTAACAGTTTTAACTTTGAGCTCAAGGGTAGCGTCTTCGTCACATATTAAGGTTGTTTTAGGATGCATTTGAAGTGCAGAAACAGTCCACATATGACTGACACCTTCCTCTATAGCTTTGTGTAAAGCAAACGCTTTTGCAGCCCCAGTGATTAATATCATTACCTCACGAGCATCCATAACAGTTGCAACACCAACAGTTAGTGCTTCGTGTGGGACTTTAGTTATGTCCCCATCAAAAAATCTTGCGTTAGCCAAAATCGTATCCATTGCAAGTGTTTTAACTCGAGTACGAGAACTCAAACTTGACCCTGGTTCATTAAAAGCAATGTGACCATCAGGTCCGATTCCACCAACAAATAATTCAATTCCACCGCAATCACTTATCTTCTTCTCATAAGCATTACACTCTGCTTCCAGGTCTGGTGCATTCCCATCCAAAATGTTCACATTAATTGGGTCAATATCAATATGCTTGAAAAAGTTGTTGAACATGAATGAATGATAACTTTCTGGATGATCTCTCGGTAGTCCAACATATTCATCCATATTGAAGGTTCGGACATATTTAAATGAGACAGTTCCCTCTTTGTAAAAGTTTATCAGTTGGCGATAAGTACCAAGAGGAGTACTTCCAGTAGGAAGGCCAAGATTAAAAAGACGATCAGGTCCGGGATTGAAAGTGTTTATACATTTACGTATGTATTTTGCAGCCCAGAGGGCAACATCTTCACTTTTATCCAATATAATCAGTCGCATTTTGATCTATTTATTCGGCAGAACTGTAAAAGCATAAAACAAAAATACTTGAATTAAAAATTGGTACATTGAAATCATTTGTGTTTGGTAAACGAGGAAAACAAATATCGATTTGAGAAAAGAATAGCAAACTGTGTTAAGGATAAACTTACTTTGATATGAATGAATGAGAACACAGGCAACAAGTTAATTAATACTGTACTGATACAAATCAATCTAAAAATAAAAATAAACAGTTATTAAGGTTATTAAAGATGAGGCAACGATGGATATGAATGTGGAAATTTCTTACGGAAAATATCAATATATTTTATGATTACGTTTAGGCGGCCTTTTTAATCTTTAAAATAACAGAGTGTTTAATCTACTGATTAAATTATTACTCTCAATTGGGAAAGTAAGCTATAATATAATCGGTCGATTCTCACAATTTTTCCATTGGATTTGAAAAATAAAAATCAAACCAAATCATCTCTAGTCATTCAAGAATCCAAAATCTAACAAAATTTCAAAAAACGCACTGAATAAAAGATTTCTGAACAGTTAAAGTAAAAAGCATTTGATATCAAATTGAGAGTAAATTCACGATTATTAAATCAGTCTAATGGTACAGTAAAATTCAAAATTACACAACAGGGAATCGAAATGATTGCTTCTTAAATTAAAATGTCAATTCTTGTTGCCATGGGAAACTAAAACATGTGTTGTTCAAATCTTGTTTTCTCTGATTTTATTCCAGAATCTATAATTTACTGATTGTGGTTGTTATTTGTGATTTCTTTTTATATTGAAAATGTAAAATAATTTCAATTTTATAGTTTTATTTAAGAACCAGGGAAACGGATTTTGTTGTGTGGAAAAAATCTGTTTAAGATTAGTTTCACAATGATGTATTGATGTTTTTAAAGAGTTGCAATAACCAAAAATTCATCTGAACATAATAATCTTGGAATGACTCTAACTTTCGCTTATCGTCATTTTTATAATCATGGTCGCTCATGTTTGAGGAGATTCACAACATCAAATATACCTTCAGTCACCTCTGCTGATAGCACTGAATTGAATGGTGTGCAAAAGTTGGCAAGATTCAAAGAGAAAGTGAAAGCTGGACCTGATTTTGATAAATTTCTTTACAACCATGAGCTTTTACGCCAAATAAACTTGGATCCTGATGAGCCTTATGTTGCTAAACGATCTGAATCAGTACCTTATCTTGATGATGAATATTTAGATGGTGGCGGTAAAAAGGTACACATCGAAACTTATGGTTGTCAAATGAATGTTAACGATACTCAAGTTGCATGTAAAATATTGAGTCAACATAATTATCAAATAGTTGATTCTATTGATAATGCTGACATCGTATTTCTCATGACTTGCGCCATTCGAGAAGGAGCTGAGAGAAAAATCTGGTCTCGTTTAAACGAATTTAGGAAATTGAAAAGTCCATTTCGTCTGAAACAAATTGGCGTAATTGGTTGCATGGCCGAGAGATTGAAAACTAAATTGATTGAAAAAAATTCTTGTGTCGACATTGTTGCCGGTTAGTTACACTCTAAACTAACAGTATTTTTTCCCGTCAGTTTTTAGAGTTTTAGAAAATTTAATCAAACATTTTTTTCATTGTATCAATATCTTAGGTCCGGATAATTATCGTGACTTACCCAAACTACTGGCCATAAACAATATTACACAGAAAAATGCTGTAAATGTAATTTTATCGTTTGATGAAACTTATGGAGATGTGATGCCAGTTGTGATGGTTGGTGAAAATAAAAAAGTTCAGATAAATAATTGGCAACAATTCAGACATGGGGAATCAAAGCAAGCGTTTGTGTCTATTATGAGAGGATGTAATAATATGTGTAGCTATTGTATTGTGCCATTTACACGAGGAAAAGAACGAAGTCGCCCAATTGAATCCATTCTTGAAGAGATTCGGTTATTATCTAAAGCAGGAGTAAAAGAAGTTACTCTATTGGGACAAAATGTTAATAGTTATCGTGATAAAAGTCAAGGGGAAAGTTTAGACAACACTTACGAAATCGCTCCTGGTTTCAAAACAATTTATAAGAGTCCACAAGGAGGATTAACTTTTGATATTTTGCTGGACAAAGTAGCAGCCATTGATCCTGAAATGAGGATAAGATTCACATCACCTCATCCAAAAGATTTTCCTGAAAATGTCTTGAATGTAATTCAAAAACATCACAATATTTGCAAGTCTATTCATCTGCCGGCTCAGAGTGGTGATAATTTGATTCTTGAAAAAATGAGACGAGGTTATACCAAAGAAGCTTATTTAGGTTTGTAATAGTTCTTCATGTTTTTGCTTTTTGCTTTTCACCAAAACTTGAATTTAACTTAAACTTTTTTGATCTCACAGCTTTGGTATCCAAAATTAAAAATCTGATTCCAGGAGTTAGTTTAACAAGCGATTTCATTTGCGGTTTTTGTGGTGAAACTGAAGAAGCTCATCTCGAAACTCTGGATCTTATAAAGAAAGTCGAATATCAATTCATTTATGTATTTGCTTACAGCATGCGAGAAGTAAGTCGTTTAAATATAATACCATGAAAAGAGAATTAATTAACTTGCCTTTATTAATGCAGAAAACTCATGCTCATCATCGCTTTCAAGACAACGTGCCCTACAAAGTCAAGACGGATCGTGTATCTGAAATCAATGAAACTTTTAGGAAAATTAGTCTGAATATGAACAAATCAAAAATAGGCACACAACAATTAGTTCTTGTTGAAGGTAACAGTTCTAAATCGTTAGATGATTTGGTTGGACGTACAGATAGTAATATCCGTTCCATATTCAAACACCGAGAGATACCAGTTGGAAGTGTTTCAGATGTTGCTAAAAGAAAACCAGTTCCAGGAGATTACGTTTGTGTTGAAGTCGTCGATGGAAATAATCTATCTCTTTTTGTTAAGCCCTTGTACATTACTAAATTAACTGATTATTGTACAAAATAAGCGTAATAAAGCTTGTTGACATATGAAAAAGCTCGAAGCAAATATTGAAAGATGACAAGAAAATGTTCATTATTTGTTAAAACACGATTAATTTGAAGCTAATTTTCTTTAAAACCGCTTAAACAATCAAAAATAATTATTTTCTAAAAGTAATTTTAAACATTTAATCACTGAATTGGATCTATCCAATAAATTGAGACCAAATGATTTATAGTTCAGTTTATAAACAAGTTGGAAACTGTAAATTTTACCGCTCTTTTTGTTGCCAATTGAACATATGATTTGAACACTGCCATCTATTTGAATTTTACGTAATTTCACACCAACTCCAGAAAGTTGATGTGGATCTAAAATTTACAGTGTTATTGTGTTTTTGATTATTTAAATTGGAAATCCTTTTTCATTAATTTATTCTTAGTTGCTCAAAGGGAATTTTTATCAAGTTTTCGCTGAACAATTGAACCTGAACTATTATTCAACTTGGAAACACACGACAATTGTGATAATTTACAAATAATTAAACCTTCTGATCTCTTTTATACATCATCAAACGTAATCAGAGAAAAGATTTCTTTTCTCTCTCTCTCTTTTTCCCATTTCTCTTAACTCGATTTATATAATACTACTTGGGCTACCTTTTTATTATTCTTACTGCCTCTATCTCTTAATACTGGTTGTTTTCCCTTTCGCCTGTTTCTCTTCTATCAACAGCTTGTATTTTATAGTCTATACTGTATAAATTGTGTAAATTTTTCATCTTGCCAATACTTTAGATTTTGTAATAATGTCTGGCCGTCAAATTAACCGAACTAGACCTGATGGAGGACGTCAAGGTAACTCATCATATTTCTCATCATCATCTGCAATATCCAACAAGTTTGGGATCACTTGTGTGGTTTGTTGTCATTCTATTCCTGGTGAGCATCGCCGACCAATTTTTGCCATTGGGCCTTGTGATCATTCAGTTTGTTATCATTGTTCTGCTAAAATGAGAGTCCTCTGTGAGCAAAATGAATGTCCCATTTGCCGTCAAGAAATGTCTGAGGTAAAGCCAAAAACCTGCACATAATTGAACATTGTTCAACTTTCAATTCAGTCAACATTTAAGCAATATTAGATCTCTATTTCATCATATATTTTCTTTCCTTTTTAGATTATTTTCACTGAAGACTTCAGAAAAAAATATAATGACTTTGGTGATAAACGAAGACTTCATTTTAATGATAAATTCAAGATTTACTTTGAAACTCAAGGTTGCCTTGATACATTTAATTCCTTGTTAGAGGAGAAATGTAAAAAATGCAAACAGCTCTTATCTAGCGTACATGAATTGCAAGACCATTTATGGGAGAAACACAGACTTTTAACATGTGAATTATGTGTTCAAAACCTGAAGATTTTCAGTGAGGAAAGAAAATACTATACTGCTGGACAACTCGAAGCTCATATGAAACATGGTGATCCTGATGATCGATCATACCAAGGGCATCCTGCGTGTCAACTTTGCAGTCAACGATATGTTGATACTGAGGAATTAAATCGTCATCTTCGCCGTGAACATTATTATTGCCACCTTTGTGATAGTAATAAGATCATTTATTACAACAAATATGAAACTCTTAATCAACACTTTCGTGAGGAGCATTACCTCTGTGAAGAAGGGCCTTGTAAAGATGAACAGTTTACATCAGTCTTCCGCTCAGCAATAGATTTACAAGCACATAAAGCTCAAAGTCACTGTTTGACCAAATCTGAAGCTAAACATGCTCGAACTTTATCTTTGGACTTGACATTCAATCCCACTCCTCGAGGTCCTAGAGCCGGAGGGTTTAACCCTGTGGTTGCCTCTTTTCACGATGAAGGCAATTCTCGTGGTGGTCGACGAAATCGTGGTGATCGTGGTGATCGTGGTGATCGAGGTGATCGTGGTGATCGAAATGATCGAAATGATCGTAGTGACCGTGGTGATCGAGGTGATCGTGGTGATCGCAGTGATCGTAACGACAGAGGTGATAGAGGTGATAGAAATGATAGAAGTGATAGGAATGAGAGAGGAGAAAGAGGCGATAGAAATGATAGGGGTTATCCTCCAACAATACCTGAAGATATTTGGATGACTGATGATTTATCAAATTTGGGAGCAGTTGGTCCAATTCAACAATTACCTAGACCAGAAGACTTTCCCTCTCTTGGTGAGCCAAGTCGACAGGGACCACCAATACCTATTCGTGATAATCCACTTTCAACCACTGCTTCTAGGATTGCTGCAAGTAAAGAATCAAATTTAGATAATTTAAATGGTCAAAATTCGAAAGCAGCAAAGAAGCCTAAACATAAGTTCAGTACAAAAGTTAAAGAATCTGCTACTTTTGGAAAGAAAGACGACGAAGAGTTTCCAGCTCTCTGTGGTCCGAATGGAAATAGTAGAGAGATTTTAAATGGCCGTTCTGTTTCTAATTCAGCTCCTTTGGCTACCATTTCACTGGCTGATGCAGTTAAATTAAACTCAAAACCTCCTGAGAAGCCATCTGCTCAACCGACCAATACAGCCAAAACAGCTAAAACAGTTAAAACAATAGCAAATGATTCAAATAATACCATGGAACCTTCAAACCAAGACTTTTCTTTGACACAAAATGACTTTCCGTCCTTACCGTTTAAAATCAATGGAAATCGAAAGAAAAAGAAAGCTCTAAATATACTATTAGCTAGTTTAAATAATCCTCAGCCAAATCCTCCTCCCAACTACACTTCTGTTCGTCTCGTTGACTCACTTGTTCCTAAGGATGATAATGCTAACGATAAGCATGAAAATGACACAAAGCAAAGTTTAGAAGCAAATATGGAAAGTTTGCTTCTCAAAGAAGACAATTTTCCTCCACTTGCTGGTGAAATGAACAAAACCAAATCAAAAGCTGGCAAGAAAGAGTTACCTGTTAAACCCAGTTCATCGAAGTCGTCAGGCTCAACAAGTGCTAACCAGAGTACTTTCTCATCTCTTTTACGACCACCTCCAGGTTACGAGAAACGTAACCCCAATAAAATTAATTTGAACGAACTATCTTTAGAGGCAGTAGCGCAGCAAGTAATCAAACCAAAAAGTCCACCAACAAAAAATCAACATGTAAATAGTAAAAAAGCTGAACTGAATAACACCAACAATCATAACGAAGCTGTTAGCAGTAAAACAAACCATTTAATTAATAACGATAACGACAGTACTGGCAAGCAATCTTCATCTTCTAGCAATCAACAAAAAAGCAAAAAAGAAAATTCCAATCAAACAACATTAGATCATCGCAATGATTCTAAAGCTGCCAAGCAATCATCATCGAAAGGAACAGTTAGACAACAAAATGGAAACACTCGTTCGCAAAATTACGAGGAACCTTCTGAATACTCTTACATTTATCCAAAGGATTTTGATGAAAGAAATCGACATCTTTTCGATATGGTCCAGTCAATCTTGAAAGATCGATTCAAAGAGTTTGATCAAGTCTCTAGAGCATTCTTTAATGATGATATCTCACCGAATCATTATTACAGCAAATGTTGTGATATGTTTCGTAACAAGTTAAATCAAGTTTTATTAGATTTAATTGTTCTATTGCCTGATATTAGGAAACAAAAACATCTCCTGTCTGCCCATGAAACTAGTGTTAAACAAAAGAAAGGAGTCATCCTTAAGAAGGCCGGTGTTTGGGAAATCAAATCGGATTCAGAGTTAGATTTCGTAGTTTGTCCTATGTGTGGACAAGTTTTAAACAAAAAAGATGGTCCAGATCATATCACAACGCATCAAAAGAAACAAATATTATCTTAAAGCTGTAAATTCCAATCAGTTTAATTTATCTTAATTGATATTTAAAATATCAGGGAGAATTTCGAAATGAGAAAATTATTCAAGCAGATGTGATTCTTGTTTAGTTTTCCCATTTCTTCAACTCAAAAATGAGTTTCCGTCTTTGCAATGCGTTCGATTTATGAAAAGTCTTGATATCTTGAACTCTATCATTTCTCCCTGGTATTTTTGAATACATAGGAATCAAATATTGTTATGCCACGAACCAAAACAAAGTTTTATTGTAAACATTCGTAAATTATTATATATATTTAATATATAATAATAATGATTATAAAATTGATAATTCTAGTTCATTTTGATTGTTGAAACGAAAAATGATAGCGCCTCTGATCCATCTGTTGATCTGGATGTCTCTTCATCAGAATTTGGTTTACTCAACTGTTCGCTGTTTTGTTTACGAACCTGCATCCAACTCGACTGAAATTACAATCAGTGGGGTTAATCATGAAACAACAAAAAACGAGCAAATTAATACATCAAAATAAATTTTTTTGCAGACATTCAGATGTTTCCCTTTTTTCAATTTTGAATTGCAAATTGAATTTATCCTATCACGATTAGAGTTAAGATTAGATCAAAGTAATAGCTTATCCACAAAGCTTTGCAATTAACTGTTATCAATGAATAACAGATCGGTAATTACCTTGCGAAGCAATATTTAAAATAAAAAATGAAAGCAATTGTTGAGATGATTGAAGAAGAGTAACAACGTGGACAACATCAATTACAATGAAAACTCATTGATCAATGGAAAGCTTTGGTGAGAACTTTCTGTATCGATTTAGAATAAGGGAGAAAGTAGAATGAAACTGACAGAATAAAAATATAACAGGGGAAAAAATTCTGGTAAGCATAAAAGAAGTGAGTAAAGAAAGAGAAATAAAGAGAAACAGAAGAATATGGTGAGAAAGAGAAATGAAAAGATCCGTTGAGTTTGCTCTCACTAATCAGCTAACATTTTTGCCAATATCACAAATATACTGTTATTTATATATAGTCTTATATTTACAACTCCTTACCTTGTTTTTTACTTTCAGTGATAAAAATTTGAATAATGTTGATAAAAAATTAATTTATTTCTCTCGGAATTGATCATTTCTGTGTGAAAATACGGTCAACACAATAATTAATTATATCAACATCTATTTGAATAGCAAGTGTATCGGAGCTTTCAAGAAAAGCAAGACAGCGAGATAAGAAAAACAACAATCTTATCTCTTATTAATTTCTCTTGTTTCAGTTCATTTTTCTCCATTTTTATCCAAATCTTTTACTTTCCCCTCCCCGAATTTACTGTTTATTCCCATTTTTAAATTTTATTTTTTGGTGTTATCTTCATCTTCCCGGTCAACCTAGACTCTGGTCAATTATTGTGCTAGCAGTTTCCATTATTAATTGTTGAAACAATGGATGGTGGAGTTGCCTTTGGTGCTGGTAAAGCAGGTCAACCATTTGATCCAATCGGTTTTCTTACTCGACCTCAAGTTATTTTACGATTTTTCTGTTGGGTAAGCTTTTTTATTTATGCTCAAAAGCTAATGACACACTGTAAAATCAATAATTGTCATTTAAATCGGCATTTGATTAGTATAGATGAGATATATTGTTATAGCTGCTCTAGTTGTTTCATTTATAACATGACTTTTCAATTTTGATCCATTTTGGCTTTGCTATCTTTTTGCTCTTTATTTTGCTTATTGACATTGACCAATGATTTTACTATCCTACCATTTGGTCCTAATGATTGTTTTTATTTCTCATTCTACCTAGTTTAATTGTTAGATACTTATAAAGCCATTTTACTCATTTTAAGTGAATGTTTACCTTTACCGGTGAATTTATTCATCATTTCTTTATACTTACAGCTGTAGATTGTTAAATTGACGTTATCAGATGCATTTTTATTTGAAGTCAGTCTATTTTTGAATTGGGTCAGTAATGAGTTACGCGCACTGGTAATTGCTGATTAATTAAATCATACATTACCACACATAGCTGTATAAATTTGAAGTGACATTGAATCCTCATGTATTACCTGTTTAGTTTCACGAAATAATTCGATTTGGTCGTATTTTTTCTCTAGAACATTTCATTGTATCCATAATTTAGACAATTGGTTATTATTCTAACCTCGTTGTTGGTAACATCAAATTAATTTGTTCTGTTTCTAAATTAACCTTTCTTTTCTTTATTCCATTTCACAGCTCTTCTCTGTAATCGTTTTTGGTTGTATAAATAATAAAGGTTGGCACCATGGTAAATGTCAATACAATGGAAGTGCCAATGCATGCCGATTTGGATCCATTTTAGGAATCATTGGCTTACTTGCCGCCGTTGTTTTACTTGTTCTTGAAGGCCTTTTCCAAAATATATCAAGCATAAAAATTCGACGTCGCATTGTTGCAATTGACTTAGGTTTCTCTGGTCTTTGGGCAATATTATATTTCCTTTGTTTCGCATCTCTCGGTATTTCCTGGTCCCGTGCACCATATCCTGAGTTCGGCTATGGGATCAATAATCTTCGGACTGCCATAGCTTTTTCATTCTTTTCCATTTTTGTTTGGGCTGGTTGTGCTTATTTCGCCTGGCTTCGATGGAAATCAGGAACTGATATGTCCACTTTTACCTCAGCCTATCCAGATGATCCTAATCTAGCTGGTGGTGTTGCTGGTGGCATGCCCGGTGGACCAGGAGCCGATTATTACGCTTATGCGAGTGGCACTGATGTTAATGAACCTGCTTATCAAGATCAAGGAATGTACTCCCAGCAAGGTGTAAATAATCAATATGGAGGCGGCGGTGGAAACTTTCAACCACCGGCTTACTAAAAATCTTCGCTTAATTAGTACATAAAACAGTGTATATGGAGCTTACATCCGAATTTTGGAGAAACATCGCAAAATCCTCAAGAAAATTATGAAAATATTTGAAAGAGCATTCAACTATTTATATATTTGAACTCTAATAACGCAATTGCGTCAAATTAACATATGCAGACAAACACGGAGAAGACAGAATGAAACAATTACTAAATCTAATTTAACATATAAAGCTAAATTATTCCATTTCGTTCTCATAAGGCCATGGATGTCAAGTTGTTTACCTGCGATCAACATTTCCATTTATCACCATTACCGTTTTCATTCCTATTTTCACCGTCAAATAGTTGAGACTAGTCGTGTTAATTTATGTTAACTTATGTTCATGCATAGTTTGGCTATTGGTGGATAACTTCACAGTAAAATGAAACCCCATTCATCAACAATTATCAAGGATCCTATCCTTCACTGTTTATACGAAAACTTTGCATTCTCACAAACATTCCTTCGTTTTTTATTGAATTTTTTTTCAATCATTGGATCTCATTCTCACATCGATTCAATATTCTTGGCTTTGTTTTGGTACTTCATTCCTGTTTGTTATTTCAACCATTCATCATTCCTTATATCATCTTGATCGTTATGAAAACTGTCACCGCCCGTATAAAACTACACCAGAAACTGCTACAAAAAATCACAAATATTTGTAAATACGAATCGGAAACAAGAAAGTCGACAACACTGATGGATACCTTTCACAACATCCCGTAGACAACCTTTATTAATTCACATCACAATTGCTTAAATTGCGATCCTGTTTGACAATTAGCTTATCATATGTAGATGAATTTTCTCCCCTAATTGGAATTGAAATTGGTTGCTATTCAATAACTATTTTAAGATGAACAAGATGTCTCATAATATGTATACATTTAAATTAGACAAAAGTTGCATGGTCGAAACATTTGTTCAAAGGAATTGTCAATATCAGGATCATTCGGATGCGAACTTCATTGATTCAAAATTGATTATACAGTAGTTATGGACATATTTTGCTCCAAATTATCGCAAATTGTACAGCTAAATTTCAAGCAAAAGGGTTTCGACTTTCATTTTAATTTTGTCTACTAAATTTTGGTGGCCTATCTAGTCAAGCCTGTCTCGTGAATGTCAACTTAAATTTGGTTATCCGAGTAACGGTCTCATCAATATCATCACATTTTCATCATCATAACCATCAGAACCATCATCATCATCATCATCTTTACCATTTTCATCATTGACATCATTTTAATCATCATCAATTTAGATTCCCAGAATTGAAGACAACGTGAAAAATTAAATTCGATCTTAGAGAGAAAAGTTACCCAAAACCAAAACGTTGTACAGGATCAGCCTTTGATAACAATTTCAGAAGAAATACAAAAACCTCAAACTTATTGGATTCGCGTTCACTCGATACACTTTTGGTTTTCCATCATTTCCACAATTCCCGCTTTAATCGTTGAAACCCACCCACCCATATGATACAAAGTAACTATAAAAATTGTTATCATCTCAAAAAAGAGGAATCAAGGCCATTTTCTTACATCTCACTGTCCCATTGATATCATACAAATTCGAGGTGACAAGAAGCAAGATTAAACCTTAATAATAACAAGAAAACAATAACTATTTGGAGCAATAAGAACTTAATTAGTTGATCATATTTCCTGTAAAGCGAATATTTGGATTAATCATCTAGCAAAGAATAATTGGAAACGAAACGGATCTTCTATTCCTTTTATGAAGCACACATAGCATCATTTTTACTAGACCACAGTTCATTTGACAAAAGATTAACAATGGATGATGAACAGCGAAGTTAAACCATTTTAATGATTAAATTTGGATTTAAAGACAATTAATACAGCAATAGCATCCAAGTCCAGTCTTCTAATGGTACAATGACTAAAGTATACATATGAAACTTACTAGCCAAAAAGTCAGGCTCAACGACAAAGTAGCTTGGCTGATTCACATTCAACTATTGTTACCCACAAAAAGAAACCTTAAAACCAAACTGGAAAACCAAACTTATATCATTCTCAAAACTGTGTCAATTATATTGAGTTTCAAATTTAATAGGAAATTGCAATTGAGTCAGGAGCAAAACAAAACTAAATACAAAATCGAGTGTTAAAATTGCGTGTACTTATTATCAAATGTTACTATTGTAATTATACATTATTATTGTACATTTTTGGCTGTGCAAATTTATTTCGTACTTTGGAAAAATCACTAAATATCTCTGAAAATCTGGTTTTAAATTTGAAACGAGCTGAAAATTGGAGGAACAATCATCAACTGGATGTCAAAGAAACTGATTTATACAGATTCAGGCCAATCTCATTGGCAAGTCAATCCAGCTTTAGGAATTAATTTTCATTGCTGATAAGCACTTGATTAAAGGTGTTTCATAGGAAATTGAATAAGCTAGCTAAGCAATTATTGTTACTAATCAAAGGCATTGTCTAACAATTATCTTTCCTCCACCTTCAATCATCAACCTCTTCTTGTTATTACTGCTCTTGATAATCTCTCATCACCAAGACTGTTGAGAGTAAATCTGAAGTTTCAGAAGAATGATAAATTTATTCTTTAGCCTTTTTCTTCCTTCCGACGAACACTTGTTGAGAATCAATCAAATCCTAATCAATTTCTTATTCGCAATTAAACCGACAAAAAAGTTGTCTTTAAGATGTTTCACCTCTTAACAATCCTCTTAAGAGCTTCCAGTAACTTTGCGAGTGAAACAAAAAATCAAGACCTTTTCATCTCTTTTTTTATTTTGTTTTGTTTTAAATCAGTTTATCATGTTCGGCAGATTATGAACAGATAATGATTATAATGATAATTCTGTGTCGATCAATATCTCCATGTAAACATTAGCTTTGCGGAATGAGTTAATGTATAAACTAAAGCTTTATCTAATCCCAATCTCCTGCAACTTTATTAAGTCATCGGTATCCATTATATGATTGTGATTATTATTGTAATAATTGGTAACTTCAATTGCCTCTTTTATTCATTTCAATTCATTTCAACCAACATTTGATATAAAGGGTGTAACACTTAAAAACGCGCAAATGAAGGAGGTAAAAAGAAAGCATATCTTACCGTAATCACAAAATTTGGTGAAATTTCTTAAGATAATAACAAAGATTATGAAGCAACAGATCTGATTTTGGTTTCATTGTCTTTGTTGCTTCATTGTTATCTTAATCAATATCGTCAAATTTTGTGATTAAGGAAAGATAAGCTTTCTTGTTACCTCCTTCATTTGCGCGTTTTTAAGTGTTACACCCTTTACAAAGACACATCTTAATTGTCTGTAGTCACCCTTGGCTTAAGCATGTCGTTATCTCGTTAAGCAAATTTTCATTTAATTTATTGATTTAGCTTTCGTCTTTTCTTTCACCTTTAATTAAATCAAATTGATTGACACAATAATCAACAAATACATTAAATACACACGCACACACGATTAAACTGTTTTATTATGGTGTTAAATTGTTATGAAAAAACACTTTGTGTGTTACCTACTGTTATCAATGGTAAACTACTTTTCCTCTTCCTCTCCATTACTTTCTTATTAATACCATTATTATTAATCAAACAATAATTCACAGTTAATCAAAGTCAATATTCAAAGATAATGATAATGTCAATCAATTGAATAGAGTGAGAAAGAGACTAAAAGATAATTGACTCACTGATTAACTGTTAATTGTCTGACTGAATCGATAACCTTTTTCTCACTCTACAACCGGTGCCTTTTCTGATCATTCATCAACATAATATTCATTTTAAGTAATAAGTGAAAAATTTAACAACTCAATTAGTTGATTATTCATTAAATTACACAATTTTCCAAGAAGAAGATAATTCTTGAACCGAATGTTCAAAGTTATATTAGATTCGTTCAGTTGAGAGATGTTGCCAGTAAATTATTCAAAAACCCCTCAAACCTCTTGTTTACATGTCTTTTAATGAAAGTTGTTATTTGAAATAATATCGAGAAAATTGACTTTTACTGAAAAATTGAATTTAATTTACGATCTTGAGCCTATTAGATATTAATTGTGATATTCATTCGGATATTGTCAATTATTTAGCTTAATTTCACATTTAAATTATGAGCATGATTAACTACAGTGACTATTTAAAATAAGTCTACTTGCGTTATCAATTCGGTTAATTTTTCTTTATTTTGTATCCAAAATAACAGAGGTCGACAGAGGTTACTTTTTGACAGTCAGTTCAAAATAAGTTATGCTGGAAATGCAGTAAAAAGATAACGAATTTTTCTCCAATAGATGGCAGTTGAAAGACTATCCCATCACAAAATAGGACCTAAATTGAACTGGCGATTCTTACGCACTTTGGTGTGATGTGCTTATCTCTCGCCTTTGAACTCTTCTCTGAATCTAACGATTGGAGAATCTTATCATTTTGATTTTTCTTTTCATTTCGGATCTATTTGATTTGAACTGGTGGCAAAATTAGCAGCATGAAGCTCACAAAATCATAGTTGTTATTTTACTCTGTAACAGGAAATTTCGCGATCAGAAATGATCGCGTCTTGTTTGATTTAGAATTACTTATCAATATAAAATTCATTGAATGATCCAATCATAATACACTAATCATAATTTCTCAATTAACTATACCAGCATAGCAATAAAATTACTCATTTATCTGTAAAAATAGACTGCACTTACAGAGTTCACTTTTTTCTTAAAACAGTAAATTGAATCTTAAGTAGCAATTGTAAATTTTGATTGGCCAGATGAAGATCTACGAATCAGCGAAATGTACCGCTGGACTTTGTCAAAATGACTACTGACTTGCCTAAATGCATCCCATTATTATACAAAATATTTCTCTATCAATCGATGTAATGAACATCTCGAAGTGCTTCCAAAGTCGACGTTACCGACTATAGCTCAAGTACAAAACTTGTTTTCAAGATTTGATTCAGCTATTCGCATGTTTGATCATTTCTTAGGCTTTACTTATTCCTAAAAATTCCAATTCCATTTAAACTAAATTATTCAAGCCTTTTAATTAGATTTTCAAACATCGAGAATCTATCCATTAACATGACTTTAAATGAACATCTAACTGGATTAACATGAAAATACAATGAAAAATCAACCCAAAATCAGTGCACAATTTGAATGCAACATTTGATTAAATGCAATGAAAAAACTTAATTGATTAACTCTGTGCTTTTGCTAATTAAAATTTAAAATGATAAAAGCAAATGAAAAGCTAAAATATTGCAAAACAAACAAACAAGATTCATTGATCAATTGTTAATTAAATGTTAAACTAATTAAGCAACGCTTGTAACCACAAGTAATCGATTAGTTCGTGTGAGTTTCCAAATCATTAATAATAATAATAATAGTAATAAGTAATTTAGTTAACTGTAAGGGTGATAATGATAATAACCACAATTAAGCAGACAATTTAAATGCTTCAGGTATTATTCATAAAAGTAATAATAAAAGGTATTGAAAAGAAAAGCAAATGTAAAAGTTAAGGCTTTAACGATTAATTAAATGGATGTAAAGTTAAATGAAAAGTGACCGTTGATTGATTGGCAATGAGAAGAAGAAAAAAATGACCGTAAAAAAAGTTAAAGCTTATAAATAAGATTAAATCTGTTGTTAAACTAGACAAATCAAAAGTCGTGATTAACTTTGATTTACTCATTTATTTTTCAATCTCTTGCTGCTCTATTTAACTTGTAATACACTTCGAACCCAAGTTTGCCTTCAAGCATTTTTCTTTCAACAACTTTTCAAGACAATTCATAAGATTCAACAGCTCTTATCATAATCATGATCATGATCATCATTTTTCCCAAGTCACTGACTAGGCAATGAAGGTATGAATTTGCAACCTAACAAGGTAACCCAAAGTCCCATCAAATGTAAAATCCAACTCGGCCTCTTTTCACGGTAAAGTTTCATTTTTATTTCATCTTCATCAACTTCAAGTTTTATTGAATTAATTTACAACTGAATCTTCATTTTTATTCATATCAGTTTCTTAATCATTACATTCACTATCATGACTATCAAAATCTCAACATGAATAGGTCAAGTAACAGAAGCTTCCAACCTAACATAGTCACTCTTCTAAGATCAGATTAAACATCCAACTCGGCCTCTTTTCACGGTAAAGTTTTCATTTTTGTCTTTCTTTTGTTTCATCAATTCCAAGTTTTACTGAATTGATCTTCAGCTGAATCTCGATTTTTATGTTTAGCATTTTCTCGCTCACTATAATCATGAATGGGTCAAGTGACAGAAGCTTTTCAACCTAACATAGTCACTCTCATCGGATCAAATTAAACACTCAACTTGGTTTCTTTTCACGGAAATTTTGTTTTCCTTTAATCTTCCTGAATCTTTACTGTGTTTATTTGCACCATTTTCAATTTAATTTCATCTTCATCATTTTTACAATTATCATGTTCAATCTCATCATGAATAGCCAACTGACATGAACTTCTCAACCTAACAAAGTCACTCTCATCGGATAAGAGTAAGCATAAAGTTCAGTCTATTTTTATTAAGAAGCTTCATTTTTTCATCTTTATTTTGATTATGATTTTCATCATTATTTTTTACAGCACAAAAAATAGGAAAAATTCAATTGAAAATGCTTAAAGGCAAATTTTTTACTCACAACTATCATGATAATCTTCATGTTTTTTCAACTACTAATTTTTGGTTAAAGTGATTAATAATATTTTTAAAGGACCAAACATTTGAATTTGAATAATTTGCTCGCAAACAAACAAACACACACTTTAACCAGATTGTTATCAATCAGATTGAAATGCTGATTGAAGTAAAGTTCACAAGATAATCAAGATTGGAGTAAATGGTTCTCCAAGATGTTCAAGTTGAAAATCAATCAAAATTTGTTCACTTTTCTAATGACAATTGGTTCAATCGTGATTAATAAATTGTTGATTAATAGCATGTAAAAATAAATTGATTTACTCAATTTGCTAAGCATAATATACACAAGTAGTAAAGGAGATGAAAAAAAAGATTACATTTATTCATGATAACTAAGCAGCAAAAGTGAAAGATTGAATAACTGTTAATGTTATTTATGATTACAGTTAGTTGATTTATTAATAATAAGTGCAATAATTTGTAAACTCAATCAAAG